ACATACGTAAATTTGAACGTGCTGCCCAGTGTTAACCACGCAGGCAGCTATTTGTGCCCCAAGGAACTTGACCCACTCCCACACGCGCACAGGCACGCGTGCAAATAGTCGTGCCTGCAAACTCCTCGTGTGCACACGTCCGCGTAAAAATAAGTGTGCTTGCCTAAGGGCCACTTGAACGCGGTCACCTTCCGGCCCACGCAACATGGGGCCCTGTGCACGACATCCCCTCGGGCAATGCAACTCACCAATGGGACACTACATGAATTGGCTGCCAAGTCAAATAAAAGCAGCGGCCATCCCCTCTCCCACTACTCACGCTCTTCTAGGCCTGACTTCGCTCTGCACACGTGTGACGTTAATTAACATGTTGTTCCTTCGTCTAGAGTCAAACGATATTTGGCCGATTCCTTCATTATTGAGTACGTGTATTCATTGTTAATGTTTGTAAATAGTTTATTCGTCACTATTTGTTTAATAGTACCATTACACCAACTGGATTCACGAGCCCCCAATCCATGAACAAGTGCAACGATTTGCCGAATCCATATTCGGTGCTGAGACTCAATTTGGCCAAAGCAGGTCGCCAATTGGTGAACGGACAAGCCACTACCTCATCCTACGCGAACACTGGATGGTCAGATAGCCGAACAGTCATCACACCCGAGTCCACCACGCGTGCTGAAAGTTCAGGTCAGAGCCCGCATGCTGTTCAAAAAACCACCAACACGCACGAAGGCAATTATCGTTAATTGTCGTTGTATGTTTGCAGTAATGACTGTATCCTATAAATACTGCCCTGTGCAACGCTTCCCTATCTGCTACTACTCTCTGACTATGTCTCTGATGACAAATCCGCGACGGATCTCGAAACTTCAGGCGAATAAAACTATTGTCCCAGCGATCGAGTCTTCTTCTCAATTACTTCCTGGGACTCACATGTTCGCTTGTATTGACAATGACACTTTATTTTATGACCCTAAGTTCTAATCCTTAACCCCATCACCTCACCCTAGCTACAAAACCCAATCCAAAGCATGACATGCATATCTAACTGATAAAGCGGCGAAGGAGGGCCCTGCGAATTGTTAAGCGCTTACAACTCGGTCAATAACAAAGGTTTTTACTATACTTGTCCGCACCAACTCCCGACTTCCA